ATCGGCATAAAATATGGTTAAAAAATTGAAGAGCTCGGCAACAACTAGGTAGAAAAATTTTCAACTGAAAAAGTATGGAAGTTGCACATTACATCTGCATGGTGATCCAATAAAATCTTCACAGCACCAGTGTTCCCATAGGAAGCAGCAATATGAAGTGGTGTTCCATGAGTAACGGCTATATCAACTCTGGCCCCTCTAGATAACAACAGATCCACTACTTCCCCGTTCCCTGGATAAGATATATGAATCGCATGATAATGTCATAAAGACCCAGTAATAAACCAATGTTGCAAGCTTCTCAAAGATGCGCATTCAAGATGAACTTATAATGGTATGTATATGTTGATCAGACTGAAAGCATGACAAGAAAGAACCACAGGATTCCAAAGGCTGGTCAAGCAGTGAGGTAGGCTAGACGAATTATGAAATTAATCCAACCAATATATAGCTCCACGAACAAGATTGATCAAGAAATGCTTTTTGACAGGTAATATTCGGATACACAGAAGGTTTATAGATTGCATCCTGAGGCCAGACAAAACAGATACAGCATACCAAATATAGGGCAACTTAAGCGGAAGAAATAATAACCATGAAAATAAATAGTTACTGATGAACACTAATAAATGAGGAAATTGCATCGGAACCTCCTAAACTATCACCTTCTCACTTGATTTCCTCGACTAACGCTTTATGTGTCAGGCCGCTCTAAACTTATCTATGTTTCTCATTAGCTCCTCTTCACCGTTGGAAAAAAAATACTGTTAGGTGAGGCTGACAAGGCAAAACAAGCAAGAGCCACTTCACGCATTTCTGTTAGTCCAGCATTGAAAAGGAACCATGTGAGTAAGGGGGACAAGTTCAGGGAAGCCCAGCACAGAAAATCAAGCCAAGGAGAAAGTTGGTGATAGTTTAGGGAGTTCCTTCCAATACAATTTTCTCAGAACAAATTTTTGATACAAAAAATCGTAGTTGGTGGGTTTTATGGTTACAATTTTGAATTCAGTTGTTCTTGCTAGCAACACAACAACATTTATTTTCGAAAAAAAAAAACACAACAACATTTATGAAAACCACTAACAGTTCAATTAACATATGCCAACAGAGAGAGAGAAAGAGACCGCTTTTTGCAGCATTATGCAGAGCAACAGAGCCTCTATCATCTAGCTTATTCGGATCAGCTCCATTGTCAAGAAGATATCTTGCAACGGCAACTTCTCCAAACAATGCTGCAGAACTCAGAGGTGTTACACCTGGCAACAAACAAGACCTTGTCAGATCATCAATACCACTCCCAATCTCTCGTCTAGAAGGTGAAAACACTAACTGTAGAATAGTGCATGGTATACCGTATACCACGCTTATTGCTCACATACATCTGCAACTACCAGATGAATTCCTAGAGGAGTAGAAGTATGACATACAAATCATATTCATATAATTACCTATTACTTTATATTGTGTAGGTATATGCAATGATGTGATGGAATCTACATATTGGATCATTCAAAAGTGACAGAAGGAAGCATATCCAGGTAAGCATGTATCTTAATCAAAATCATATTAAATGCAACTTGTACTCAAGCAATACATGGGTACCACAAATGAAAAATATTATATGTAAACTTCTCAAAGGTACCTACATCTAACATTTTCAGTTGACCGGTGTATTAAATTTAACTCCCAGAAATGCCCTATATATCATATATAGCAAAAAAAGCCTGAAGCCTGATTTGTTGCAGGCCAATAGCTGGTACTGGTAATCACCAAATAACAGAAGTGCAAAACAGAGACGAATTGTGACAGCACAATATCACTTTTCACAACCAATTTCCCTTTCCAGAATCGATCAGATAACAATTGTGACAGCAGGCCAAGAAGACAAAAAGGAAAGGGAGTTGATATAGCAAACGAGAAGTACGCACCGCCAGTGAGGTCACCAGCATTGACGTCAAACCCGAGCTCCTCCACGAAGTACTTGCATACTTCCATTTCAGCAAGGAATGATGCTAATTGTAGTAACCCCGTGCCATCTATATGCATATCAGCAAGCTTTGCCCTATCCTGTTTGTCCATGCTACTCACCATATCTACATGACCCAAAAATGTACAGATGAATCATAGTAAAATGCAACTGTAAGAAAAAATGTAACTGCGGTTTCCACATGATAGAATAAATCTGGTTCAGAATTGCGACTAAGCATGAAGGGTCAGTTTCTTAAGCAGAATCACAGCCAAATCTTACTGAAAACGACTATCCTGTTTGTCCATGCTACTCACCATATCTAAATGGCCCAAAAATGTACAGATGAATCGTAGTAAATCGCAACTGTAAAAGAAAAATAACTGATGTTTGGAAATGATGCCATAAATCTGGGTCAGAACTGTCAGTAAGCATGAAGAGTCGGTATCTTAAGCAGAATCACACGGCCAAACCTGACTGAAAACGACTGATTAAACATGAATCCATCACAGGGCAATTAGTACCACTGAAAAATATCACGATGCTGTCCACAGTGTAAGATGCTGCTAGTAAAAACAATCACGATGCATATATGCCCAATAACATCCCTGAAAAATACAGTCATAATCGCGTGAACCGAAACAGGAACTGCTGCAAGCAACGAGACCCTCGTAGCAAGCAGGCGCGCCGCCTCGCGGCCGCATCGAATTTCGAAACCACGCCCGTGCTGGGCGAGATTGGCGCCGTGGCGGCGGCGCAGGCAGAGGTGAAGAGGCGTGCGTGCTCACCCTTGAGGCCCTCCACATCTCCGTCCTGAATCGCCTCGAGCAGCTCGCTCTCCAGCGAGCCGGGGTCGGCTGGAGGAAGCAGACGGACGTTAGGGGCAGCCGGACAGGGAAAGCCGCGACGCGGACTAGGGTTTCGGGGGGCGGTGGCGGAGGCGTGCTGCGCATACCGTTGGTGCGGTGCTCCAGCCAGCTGTAGAAGTAGGTCTTGTCCACGGGGCGCGGCGGCGGCGGCGGCGACGACTCCATTGTAGGGTTTCTGCGGCGGCGAGCGGCGGCGCCGATGGGCTTGGGCGGTGGCTTCGAGGGGAAGGAAGGCGAAAGTGGGAGGAAAAGGGGCGGGAATGGGGAGAGGCCGGGAGGGGAGTGGGAAATAAATTGGCTACGCGGCACCGGGGCTAATCGAGTGGAAATTTGACTTCACCTCCCCTTTAGCACGCACGCACGTTCAATATAGCAGTACAAATTAGCGACGCACGAACATCAAAAATTAGCGACGCACGCACGCATGCACGAACATCAAAAATAATAAAAATTACATCCAAATCCATAGATCAATTAGCGACGACTACAAACACTGAAACGAGCCGAAGGTGTGCCACCGTCGTTCCTCCTTCCTTACCGGAGCCGGACAAAACTTGTTATAGCAGACAGTCGGGAAGGCGCCATGCTAAGGCCTCATATGACCAGGGACCAGAACAGCAACCGCCGCCGGTGAAGAGCAGTGCAAATCGAATGGATCCAACCTAAAGACACACGAACGTAGATGAACAACGAACGGATCCGAGCAAATCCGCCAAAGACAGATCTGGCGGGAGACACATGTCCACACGCTCCCCGATGCTAGATGCACCACCGGCACGGGAATAGGCGGAGGAACCTTATTCCATATTCAAAGAGCCGTCATTGTCTCACTTTCCCGAGCAAGACACTGATCCTAACAAAACTCGCAAACACATGTAAAAACGGAGCAGTAGTTTTGTAATTATTGGAACAGTAGCGTTAGTAACTTAGCAAACACAATATGAGAAAAAAGTAAGTATTAGGTTAGCGATGGATATTTGTTTGGATGACATTCATCATATTATTGAGTTGTCAACAATATTATTGGGGTTAATCAGATAAATGCCACTCAAATTCTGGCGATTCCAAGAAATGACACATTTATCAAAGTTCGGAAAATGCAGTGGCATTTCCTAGAATGGCCAGAATTCAAGTGGCATTTATCAAATTAACCGATATGTTTGGGTTTGATAATATGAAGTGTCTTACTTGATTGTCAAAAAAAATGTGTGTATTAACTAAGACGGCATTGTTCTGGGGTTTTTTAGCTCCATGAGTAGCATCTTATTGAAGTACAATTGCCAAACAATTGTTTTTTTTTTGGAAATTCACTAAATCAAAAGATGTTCACAGATCTTAAAAATCATGCATTGTCGAAAATGTTGTGGATTAAAAAAACCATGTTTTTTAAAAGTGAATCTAACAATATTCTTGGATTTCAAAAAATATTCATAGATTTGAAATAAAGTTTGTAAAAAATATGTTCACAAATTTAAAATGTACATGGGCTCTAAATATTCATGAATTTAGAAAAATGCTCAATGATTTAAAAAAAAGTTTGCAATTGTTTTTAAATGTTCATGAATTATAATCGTAAAAAGAAGGAATCCTCAATAAACAACACATTTTTTTATACTTGTGTATTGGTTATGGTTGTGTGTTTTTTCTTGTCGTATGGTCTTACTTGTGTAGACGGTATGAGATGTTTGTGGTGCAGGGAGTTGTTGGGGAGCGAATTTCCCCATCGCGATTTTTTTCAGATTTTTTCGCAATGTTTAAATTTGAATTTCGGCCGCAAGGCACATGGTGACATGCAAACATGCATGTCACCTGATCTCTGTCCGACAAGGAGAGCTTCAGCATGGTCTATAACTATTCTGCAGGAACAGAACACACTTGCACTTGTCATACCTTCATCATGCAACCTAGAGTATCGGTAAAGAGAAAACCACTTCGTCCATCGCAAGTACTCCCTCCATAAAGAAATATAAGAGTGTTTAGATCACTACTTTACTGATCTATAAACGTACGTGCTACGGGACGTTACGCACATTTTAAAAGAACCGAGCATTCACGGCTCAACACCACTCCTCCCTGTGTTTAGAACCAAAAGGCAGGGAGAAGGGAAGCCCGAGAGGAGCACCGCCGAACCGAAGCATGCATGAACTCGCCCACGAAGGCTCTGCTCAGACCGGGCCCGCGCTTTGTCGATCCGAATGTTGCTTCTTCATTGCCTCGACCGCCTCCCTGAAAATGTCAGGTATAACCAACTGTTAAGGCCTCCAAGGTAGCCAGCATTTCTGCTTACCAGTGTTGCAACAACAAAATAAAGAAGTTGACAAAAACTATATGTTAACGATATAGGGCGTACAACAATGGGATCAAACAGATATGATTCGCTTGCTTAACTCTGGCCACAATTATATGCATAATAATAGCATGAATGAAAAGGGTACGTTTGCGGTGCTATTTAACCAAACCCTTGCTCCCGAGAACAGATGTTCAAGAAAACAAAGACGGCAGATGGAAGGCCTACCAGAATGCGTCGTGAATCTCCACGCTTGCAGGATTCAGTTTCCCTCCAGCCAGGAACGCGTCACACGCTTCTTTACACTCCTGAAGGAAGGATAAAAACAAGAGGCAGAGATTGTCTACATGGGGCCGGAGTGACGCGTAAAGCAGCAAAAGAATGTCAGACTGCAATTTTTCTCTCACCTTCAGCGACATGAGGGCAGCTCCCTTCCGATAGTAACCCTTCGCCCAATCAGGCTGCAGATTTACACATGCAATGGCATCAGCCAAAGCATCATGCGCCCCGCCGCTCTTTAGATGGCAAAGGCTCCTGTTGGAATACAGCGTTGCATCTTCAGGATCCACTTTGATTGCCTGCATCGAAACAAGCCATATGGTTAATTCTCAAAAGGCAAGCGCAACTTGGGTAAAGAAAAGGAAGAATCACACTCCATCATCCCAGAATCAAGTAAGCAAAATCATAATTCATTTTCATTCATGATGAACAGCTAACAATGCACTATAGATATGGAAACAGAGCGCTCTGGTAGTATATGATATGATCGTGCAACAATATACTACCTCACTGTAGAATTTTAATGCAGCAGCGTAGTCCTTCCGCTCGACTGCTTTTGCACTGAGTAATTTCAGTTCAGCCTTTTTATCTTTATCACCTCCCTTGTCCTATAACAATGAAAAAAACATGCATATCAGCAGCAGGTATCTTGTGTAAAAATAAGCACTATGTAACCAATCAGCTTTAATATAGGGAAGATGTCCAATGATATTACCTTGGCACAGTGCTTCTTTGGTGCACCAGAGTCTTCTTTCTTGGTTGTTACTTCTGCATTTAATTTCAGCTGAATGTTGCTGTCTTTATCACTTTGCTTACCCTTAATCACAATATTGAGCACGCCATGACACATAAAAAAAATTCAAGTTAACAGACATGAAGAAGCTTCAGTGATTAAAAAACTCAAACTAGCAAAATTCAAGCGCTTTATTCAGAGCAACAAACTTTTTCCACTTGAACTCATGGGCAGTTTAGACATAAACAATTGGAATGCCCTAATTGTGGCACTTCCTCTACAAGCCACAGCTTCGCAAAATTTTGAAACGACATCACCTCAAAACCGGCCAAAAATGGGTGTGAATATCTGCAGCAAAATTTACTTGGCAGGCTTGCATGAGTAAATATCAGGATGTCATCTCCATGAGCAACCCATTTATGTTAAGCAGATATTAGCATTCTGTTTTAATATTGGGTTCCCTATTGAGTATTGGCCACAGTTTCACCCAATTGTGTGTTCACGTCCTGAAGTTTTTTTCTAAATTACGGTAACAATGTAATTAAATGATATTTCCGAACTTATATTTCTACATATATTTTTATTTAGCTGCTAGGAAAATTTAGCGGAAAACATACATGGTCAAGACTAAACAGAACAGATAACAAATAACTTGCTTCACGCTTAAATCTAAGGAACAGGAAAATATAAGGTGCCACATATTGGGGTGTCTAAGTAACTGAGCTTAGAGTTTAGTTCATACCTTGTTTGATTGCCTTAACTTTGCATGGGCAATGATTCCTTCAACACTCCAGTTTGACACAGATTGAATGGGTAAAGTGAAAGGAAACAGAGTCTCAACAAGCTTTCTTCTTCCAGAGTTTGCAGCAATTTCTATTGGTATCATACGGCCCTGTTATGTAAAAAAACAGAACAAGGCAGAGATACTTATATACCATGATTACAATATATGTCAACGTAAAACTTATGGTCCATCTGGTTAGCATGTTAAAAACAAAAGGATAAAGCAAAGCAGCAATAACCAAGATATAGCATTTCCTCGTGCTCCAAGAGTTGGCAACACAACATCATTGGAAACATTTTCTGAATACCAATTCAATGATATATATATATATATCTTTTATGGAATATAATTAATATGTGATTAGTCAAATTCAATATCAAAATGTGTGCGGGCCTTGTAAACCTAGGAGGGGGTACCATTGAGCATAAACATCAATTAAGAACAGTAATAGCAAGAATCAACAACTTACTTGATTGCTTGGAATATTGGCATCTGCGCCAACCTCCAGCAAATACTCAACACACTCAGATAAGTCTTTGCTAGTTGCTATTACCAATGGAGTGTCAGGATTTACACAATTCAAATCGCCACCAGCCTGTGTTATAAAATAATAAATGAGCGTATGGACATTTACAGTTCACATAAAATACAGGAATCCAGTAAATAAATCCCTACTGGGTCCCTGAACCATTTATAAGATAAAAAAAAGAGGGTGAAGTGTCCACCAGACCTTGACAAGGAGCTTCATGCACTTTAAAGCATCAGACTCAGTAATTCTTCCAGAAGCAACACAAAGAACTGCAGTCATCGGTGTGCCTAAATCTGCCGAAACCGTGTTCGGCTACATGTTTTTAGAGAAAGAGGTCAATTGACAGGTAGTGATGCTCCGAGACTACTAAATATTAAATTAAATTATTATTACATCTGCATTGTGCTGCAATAAAATCTGTATGATGCCAGACTTCCCATAAGAGGCAGCAACATGTAGTGGTGTCCCTTCAGAAGAGAATACATCAACACTAGCTCCTTTCGACAGCAAGAGTCGTACCAGTCGGTTATTCCCTAGGTAAAAAAGCAGTGGCATGAAGAATAATATTTTAGTTCAGTCGATTATTTAAGAACAAATGGACAGAAAAATAGGTCAGGACTATATCGTTCAAGTAAAGTATGTTCCGTTCAAGATGTCAACATACCCTAATCCACATGCCAAACTTTATGTAAGAACACGCAAATACACGATTGAATTCAATGTCATGTTGGAGAGTACAAAGAGCCAAATAGGTAGAGAACTGAATCCATGAGGAATGTTACACATGTTAGGCATAATGTACTATCACTCTTTTAAATACAAACATGTAAATATGCAGTCTAAAAACAAAGTGACAATGGTAATTCAACCAGATCATCAGGACATTAAATATAGAGGCACTAATATTAACAATTTCCTTTTGTGAGCAAAAAATAGTAAGTATATATTTATGTTGTTAATAGGTGCAGAAAGAGAACCTTCTTTTGTAGCGTAGTGCAGAGGAGTAAATCTTTTGTTGTCTTGCTTATTGGGATTAGCACCTTTGTCAAGCAAATACTCCACAGTAACTGATTTATCACGCAACACCGCACAAGCCAAAGGTGTCATGCCTGCCAATGGTAAAAATTAAGCAATGTAATCAGATCTTACATAGATGACTTACCAGACCACCACAGTATAATGTGAAGCATAAAGTTCAGCAAACACATCATAGTGTACAGAACACAATTACAACCTGAAAGTACGACAAGCCAGAGTTCAAGTGTTCAACACATTATCAGTGTTTGCATGGGAGCGGCGTTTTGGCTCCTGGAAGCACATGCTCCTGGGTGAACAGTACCACGAAAAAATAGTAAATGTTTTCAAAAAAATCTGAAAAAAATTGTAGATGATTGTGTTGGTGTCGCAAGCATGCTTGACAATTTTCATGTGGAATGGACCAGCGGTATTTCATCGCTGAGAAAAACAAATTTGGGGTGACATTTGGTCTTCGATTTGTTTTTTTGTTCTTTTTTTTGCACAGGCCAAAATGGTTAACCTTTTTGCCTCAAAATGTACAGGTAGCATTTGTATGTGACAAAGATCACAAAAAAAATTGTTCAATTTTTTTTGACATTTGAGGAAAAAAATTGGCCCAGGGAGCATGTGCTCCCGGGAGCCAAATTGAATTTCCATGTTTGCATGTCATTTATAACGGCAGCATGCCAACACTACGGAATAGTAAACAAACGATATGGTACGAGAAACCAGAGGGTCGAGTTTAGGAATTGTTTTTTTTTTCTTTCAGAAAGGGAGTTTAGGAATTGTGTAAGGGACACATTTACATCATAATATATAACAGTTTGCATTACCTCACCAACAAAAACAAATTAACGAACCATTTAATCTAGCAAGAATACACACTGCAGATACCTGAATCATCATTAGCTTCAGTATTGATGTCAAACCCAAGCTGCTCCACCAAGTATTGGCATGTCTCAATTTTCCCCGTGCATGCTGCCTCATGCAGTGGCCCCATGTCGTCCATCTTCACAGAGTCATTCGGCTCACTGCGGTCCCCATCCGCGCCACCAAATATAGTGGGTGGAGCAACTGTAGGACAACCATTATTTTGGCAAAATAAAGGGGTTACCATGTAATATCTATAATGTACAAATATACAAGAATAATAATTGGACAAAGACGTGAGCTTGTACCAGGCTCCCGGCCTGCTCCTGAACTACCCTTCCTACATTAATTCTCTCCCCCAAGGTCCCAATGAGCTCCACCTATCCACTCCTAGATAGCCCGAGATTGCAAAATAACAAACAACAAGCAGAATGGTGCTATACAGCAGCTTTAACATGGGGCGAATCCATTGACACCGCTCTACGACCAGTGGCGAGACCAGACTTTGGTGATTGAGCAGATAAATCAGGGACGCGGCAGATAGTGCTAACTTCCTTCGACACCTTGGTGTCCATTCTACTAAATTCTCCATTATTCAACGGCTTGCTGATTTCAGTGCTATTCGTACAAAAATGGAGATTGCGCTGAGTTGAATGTCTATTTGTATGAAATGCGGAGAAAACCACCTAAAACACGACGAGTAAAATATGCCAATTTGAGAACTTCGTGGGCCACAGAGAATTGTGGAGTGTGATATGATTTCCACCAAATTAGTGTGATATACGTACTTTCTACAGCATCGCGTTTGTTGTGAAATGAAACTTGCTCATGTGGATCTTGATATTTTTCCCCCCATTGAACCATTATTTTAGCTTGGTGGGCCCATTATTGGAATCCTAGGCTCCTAGCTCCACCATTGTCAACCAACTCTTCAAAACACAATTCAAAGGGCATGCTCCTCTCTATCTCTAAGTATTAGTTGAAGGACTATCGACATGTATAATGGCTGTCCATATATAGATGTGTTGTTGTTTCCATAAACATGGCAGTGACAGGCTGTCCATAGACGCAATTTATTTTTGACGATTTGGATGATACGGCAACCACGAATTCTTGAGATTTGGATGCTAGGACGACCCAGCAATTGATTTTGTATGTTAGGCATACTTTTCCAGGTTTTAGATTCGAATAATGCTGTGAGCGAAATCCCGTGTGGTTGGTGAATAATGACTGAACGCAGCATCTCCTGCTGTTACTGTTAGTAATGCAGATGATGGCCCTCTTAGCTAGCTTTGAGACCAAGACCCAAACCCAAACCCTTGCTAGAAAGAGAAGGGGGGTGGGGGAGAGCGGAGCGGGGGATTGATTTCTCACAGAAGATTTTATTGGGGTCGACGCCCGACTGCGCGATGTAGCGGCTCACGGTATCCGAGGTGAGCATGCGGTCCAGCCCTTCCCTCTGCTCCTGACCTGGGCGCACAGCAGAGGAGCAAACGTCGCCGCCGTCAGAGACGTCGGCTCCAACGGATCTAGTACAAGGACGAGGGACGAAGAAGAAGAAGGAGACGACGTACTCATGTGGCCCACCCGGTCCTGGGAGGGGAAGTAGGCCATGCCCGACGACACGTTCTGGAAGCTCCCCGGCGCGAACCCGTCGAAGCGCTCCCGCCCCCGCTGGAGGCCCCGGCCGCCGCCGCCGCCGGCGCCGCGGCCCTGCTTGAGTCGCCTCGCTTTCCCCATGTCGAGCACGGTGGGTGGGGGTTTGGGTTGCCTGGATTTTCGAGGCGGATGCTTCGGGGGCAGCCGGCCTGCTTTATCCCGTGACCACCGACCCACCCTGGCGCGAGCGTGCGGCGCGGCGCTAGTCGCGGAAACTTTTCGTTCCGACTTCTCAGGTTCGGGAGCAGCAGAGTAATGTCACTCCCTTTCTCGCCGGCGTGGCGTGGCATGGCGTGCATGCAATGCAACGACGCGCGTGAACGATGATGATATTGGTAACAATGTTATGTTAATTCGAAAAGGAAAACAATGTTATGCACCGTACCTCCCTTCACGGCCGAAATCACCGTGAAAAATCAAGTGAACTAACGAACAGTGTGATTGATCAAACAGGTACCAAGGAGCGAGAAAACGTATGCGCTTTAGCAAGGGGTGAGCGCGGCCCTTCAATGAAAGATTAACGGGATCTGACCCTGCCCATATCGACGAGATCGGACCCCGGTTTAAAAGTACCCTCGTACGTACATGATCCGTTTTTCTACGCCAAACCGCCTGATGGTAGACTCGACGGGCAACCGCCATGGTCAGCGGTGGTAGAGCCTCGCCACATCACCCCGCCGTGCCCACGTGGAAAAGGGGTCTGCCGCCACCGACACCGGAGGTAGCCAGTTGAGTAGTTGACCCAACCACCAGGGCCGGCGGGGGTAGAAGGGTAAGGCTAGTCATAGTGGGGAGTAACTTAGACTAGTAACATACATATGTAACTAGTCCATGTTACCACCTTCACAGTGGGAAGTGTCATAGGTGTAGTAACATGCATATCTTCATTTATTGCTTTGTAGACTCATTTTGTATTGAAAACCGTTATGTGATGGTAACATATTATGTTACTCTATTTGTCTCTCTCCTCTTTAATTACATGACACGTCATCTTTTTTGCTTATGTGACATATATGTTACTATTTATGTTACTTCCACTATGACTAGCTTAAGTGGCTGCAGATGGCCATTAAATGTGTATAGATGAATGTTAAAGGGCAACCTGGTGCATGTAGCTCCCGCTTGCGCAGGGTCCAGGGAAGGGTCCGACCACTTTGGGTCTATAGTACGCAGCCTTTCCCTACATTTCTGTAAGAGGCTGTTTCCAGGACTTGAACCCATGACCTCATGGTCACAAGGCAGCAGCTTTACCACTGCGCCAAGGCTCCCCTTCTGTATAGATGAATGTTAGAGATAAAAAAATTACGGAAACATTAACGCCCACACGTGTGGGCGTTTGCATCTCGCCCACACGCATGCATCAACGTCCGTTTGTGTTTGCACGAATCTTGGCATGTTTTGCCTGTCACGTAGGACTGGGTTGATGTGTGGGCATTTATCCGGTCGCCCATACGTCCGTTTCACCATGCGGAGGGGCTGGTGTGTGGGCGATTAGCAGTTCGCCTACACGCCAATTTTCACGCACACGGAGGGGCTGGTGTGTGGGCGTTTATCAGTTCGCACAGACGTCCATCTCCTCTCTCACACCCAAAGCTGTCAGTTGTCATGTGTTTTGCAGTGGTACATGGCAACTGCCCTAGCGTGCTTGTAAGCAGATGACAACTCTCTCTTTACCCGAGTTGCCATGTATTTTTGCAGGGTACATGGCAACTGCCACTAGTAGAAAAAGCCCCATTTATCCCGGTTCGTGAGGCCCATTTGTCCCGGTTGCCGAACCGGGACTAAAGGGTCGGTAGTAAAGCCCAATACCTTTAGTCCCGGTTCGCCCAGGAACCGGGACAGATGGGGCTCCACGTGGCCGCTGCGGCTTGCCCAGGCAGGATGGTCTTCTATCCCGGTTGGTGCCACCAACTAGGACCACCAACCGGGACCAAAAGACTTCCACGCGTCAGCAGTTCATGAGTTGGGATTTTTGTTTTTTTCTGAAGGGGAGGGGGGAGGGGGTTGGGGGTTTTGTAGGGTTAATTTAGGGATTTCATATATTGTGTTAGTTAGCTAATAGAGAGAAGTGTCCTCTCTTATCTTCGTGCTTGGTCGACGCTATGTACAACTAGATAGGAAGTGCGGCTTGCCGCACCCCACCCGCACCAGCCATAGCCAGCAGCCCGATAAGGCATGATTTACATTTCATAAGTTAAGAAAAAAAGTCCAAAGTACCAAAGTCTATTACATATCAGTAGTGCATTTTCATCGGAAATGCAATATGATATACCAAAAGGATAAAGGTTCAATACATTATACCAACAAATGTCACAACTAATTATTACTCTGCCATCCAGATGATGAGTCACAGAAATAGGAAGCGTATGAACAATATATCATAGCTTATATGTGCACAGTAAGTCACGTTGATTATGTACATGAAGCGAGTTTACATCACCAATACAACTCATTCGATCAGGACTATTGTTTATGGAAGCATAGAAGTCGAGTTTGTAAAGTGCCCAATTCACCTGCAGAGAGTAGCAATCTTGGGCAAGCCCACATAGACAATTCCATCTACATGGTAGAGATCAGGTGCACAATGTAAGAATGCCTGATGGTGTCGGGGCTCGCCTCTATAACCCAACATACTTGACCTCCCTCCAACAGCCTCTTGAGTTCACCAATCTACAAATGTGCCCCATAAGAGCACATAATCACACCAAATGGCAAGGTAAGTATTCCCTGGCAAGTACTGGACCAGAAAACTCTGACTGGAACTACATGATATTAGATGCAACTTTTCATCTCAACCATATGCGAATACTGATGGAAGATGCATTACTTATTAGGCACATGTAGAATGAGGTACCAAAAGAGCAAGTGGTACAGAAAAGAAGTGAACCAACATGATAAAAGAGGGCAAAGTGTTATGGTAGACCTTTTATTTTCAATGAGTTGATGAGCTGGAGACCATATAATTTTGAAGGTCTGACCAGCTGTGCATACCATGGTTTCGTGCTTGGAATTCTCTATGCATTATAAGTGCGGTCAATATAAAATTGTAGAGCACTTGCAACCAAGAAAAACATGTAAACATGATCCAAACAATATAAAAGTAAACCCGACCTCGCCAATTGAATCTCAAACCCTGGTAACATTCTTAATACAATAAACCGTTTACAGTATATTGCAATTGAACCACTAATTGTTTCGAACATTAGGAAGTTTCTTAGAACACTCCCATATCAATTTGAATCACTTATTTCTGTTGTGTGATGGGAAACACTAATTTAGAAGATATGACAATGTTTGATTTGAGATCATATATGCTAAGGCATCACATCAACACAAGTAAGGCCTAGGCAGTTTCTACTTGGTTCCTCTGCTCAAAGCTCTCACACAATAAACAACACAATGTTTGTTAGCAGCTAAGGGCTCTCCCAGAAAGAAGGAAAAAAACATTACTACATGATCTTTCATTCATAGGCATCATATGCATGTGCAGAGTTTCTTATAAGTTGTACAAAACAAACAGCACACACTACAGTAGATACACATGCGCATTGAGACCCCAAGCTAGGACCGATAGCTTGATTTTTAAGTTACTTTGAGGAAAAATACATCTGGTTCTTCGCCTCAAAATGATTAGCCTGTATGAATATCAGAATATGGTTCTGAAACCATGGTACTTAACTGGTTAGTACGTTTTGTCATCATATTAATTCAGTTGCTCTGAGAATGAAAAAGGGTAACTAATAATTGGAAGAACCATATATTCGGCTTCCGCCATGTCAATGTTTAATTGATTGGGCCATATACAAGCCTTTTACCACGGGTTGTCCTTTATTCTGCTTCAGGGTAGACAAGAATGCCATAAATATGTGCGTAGCACTGTTAGCTAAGGAAGGGAAACAGGGGCTAGGCGTGGTATTTATCAGCGATTCCGGTATCTAAACCAGAAATCCATAATATTTGTAAGACCAGATCAACTAAACCGCATGTCCGCATGTGTATTATTTAACCATACGGAAGTTTCTTTAAAAATGCACTTTCAACAAAATGATTAATGGACCATCACACGTATTGATCGTTAGCAGAATCAGAAAGTCCGACAGACTTCGCCAAGGTGCAGCTAGGAGGATCAGAAAGTCCGACAGAAAGATCACCAGGATATAAAATCGAAAGGTCTTGGACAGCAGCAATAGTTCAATCATAAACCGAGCTATTTATGATTGAAACTGCAATCTAACTATTCTGATATGATGGCAATCAAAACTAAATTACTATTAGTCAATCATGAACTATATACACTGCATAGATACCCTGAGAATGTACATACAGGTGCGACAGATTGGTAATATAATAAGGTGAGGAAGAAACATGCTTACCAAGTCCGCGGCAGCCTGCAGTGTAACATGATCACCTCACTGTCCATCTCTAGTTGGTTCAGTAATAAGCATACAAATGTAAGAAGAGTTCATCCTTCCACTCTAATTGATAAATATTTGCTGGTAAATAAATAGTGAAAAGGAGCAGGCACTGACTTTGGTATCTTCTTAAGATATTATCTGTAATCCATAGGGACATATCCAGTATATACCTCATGATGAGCCAATGAGATCCAAGCTGTGAATGAAAATACAGTAATGTGAGAACAAAGGATCTGACAAGGATTATTTTTTTCATCTTCTCCGGTAACAACAGAAAAAAAGCCTTGGCACAGTGGTAAAGCTGCTGCCTTGTGACCATGAGGTCATGGGTTCAAGTCCTGGAAACAGCCTCTTACAGAAATGTAGGGAAAGGCTGCGTACTATAGACCCAAAGTGGTCGGACCCTTCCCTGGACCCTGCGCAAGCGGGAGCTACATGCACCAGGTTGCCCTTTTTTCTCCGGTAACAACAGAAAAAAAGATACATCCAATTCTCGTAGACGTATATATCTAGCAATTAAAATCATTCTTATAGTTACCGTGAGAAGGACCCTGATAAAAGTAGCCACTTTGATAATACTAACCTGCTTCACCAGCTGTTGCCGTACAAATATATGGTGTTCAGGAGTACAAATATATGGTGTTCAGGAACTGACAAAGACACTCC